CTCCTTTCTTTATCCTCTTCTCCCCTCCCTGCTCCTCATCTGTCCCTTTTGCTTTTTCTTTTCGTAGCTTCTCCAGAGCCCTCTCCATCTCTTCTTTCTCCAGCCTGTCCTCCTCCTCCTTCAGCCTCATAGCCACCCTCTCCTTCACCCTGGCTGACATCTCCTTCCTCCCCATCTCGAGCTCCTTCTCCTGCTCCTCTTTGGCTAGGAGCTCTCGGACTTCAGCCAGAGCCAGTTTGGCGAGCTTCTTGGCCTCCATGCGTTCATGGATGATGGCGACCTGCTGCTTTAGAGCCTCTCGGAGCTTCGAGCCCACATTCTTTGGAGAGCTTTCTGGAGTAGATGATGGTGATAGTCATTAAAAACTCATTACAGGAAGAGCCATGCTCAGACTCACTCTGTTATCAGAGGTCACCACACAGCAGGCCAGCACAAGCATGGCACTAGGAACATCTGTCTCAGGCACGCCGCCTCTCATGCTCCCCTCTGAGGAACGAGCAGTATTATATTCTTTGTTAATATTCAGATGAAAACAGGAACTTGAGCAGCTTCTTACAGATGCATTACTACAGGCTAGCTTTGATAATCGAGCACCAACGTATCAACACGTATCTGCAGGATTTTAGTTTGTTAATCCAATAAACACATGCTCTAATGACCACAAACAGCTGAGTAGCTCAAATTTCATTGATCAGTCTGACCCACACTGCAACACAGCACAGCTTCATGCATGCAGCTGCACATCGATACCTTTCTTAGCTCCTCCCCCAGGCGCACATCCAGGTTTTTCATCTGATGTTACACACAAACAAGATCAAAGTCATGGTGCTGCAATGCTTTTAATTGTAACAGTTTAAGTTGGACCTACAGCGTTTGCACTTCACGGACCGTTTGAAACGATCCACAGCCCACCAAAGCTGCTTGAAGCACACCTGACCTCACCTGCCTTGGAATTATGCTAGACATCAAAAATAGATTCAACTTTATCTCACTGTAATCAGTACTGAGTGTGAATTCACAGCCATGCTATAACAGCAACACTTTCATGTGCAGCACAGGGAAGACAAACAGGTGTAGTGAGGACCAGTCTGAATCTGTTCACCTGCGGTATCAGTGTGAGACTTCTGCATGGCGTCTACAGCTCCTGCCTGCCCTGCAGGGTGACAGCGATACCAAGTGTCCGAAAAGACCGACACAAACATCACAACAACCCTCCAAGTAAGGACAACATAACAAACACTGACGAGATATTGAAAGTATGGAGCAAGAGACAACATTAGCAAGCAAGCTAAGCTAACCTTAGCCAGTTATCCACAACACTGAGCATGAACCAGTTTATGAACATTAGCTAGTGAGCTCACGTCTACAGACTAGAGGACCACCAAACCCCGCATCCTCTGATGTCTCCTTCCTCAACGAGCTCAACAACTTTTATGCTCGTTTTGAGCAAGGGAACCCCACAACCACAACCAAAGCAGACGTGACGCCAGACCACCAACCTCTGACTCTCTCCCCCACCGATGTAGGAGCGGTGCTGAGCAGGATCAAGGCTGCAGGCCCTGATGGCATCCCCGGGCGTGTTCTCAGAGCGTGTTCTGGGGAGCTTGCAGGAGTGCTCACAGACATATTCAACCTGTCCTTGTCCTACGCTGTGGTACCGGCCTGCTTCAAATCCACCTCCATCGTCCCGATACCCAAAAACTCTAACCGCTCTAGCCTCAACGACTACCGCCCAGTAGCCCTCACCCCCATCATCACTAAGTGCTTAGAGCAGCTGGTCCTAGCACACTTCAAATCCTGTCTCCCCCCACCCTGGACCCCCACCAATTCGCATACCGCCAGAACAGGAGCACAGAGGATGCAGTCTCCATCGCACTGCACTCTGTCCTCTCACATCTGGACAACAACAACACCTACGCCAGAATGCTGTTTATAGACTTCAGTTCAGCGTTCAATACAATCCTCCCCTCACAACTCATCAGGAAGCTGACAGACCTGGGCATCAGTTCCCTCATCTGCAAATGGATACTGGACTTCCTGACCAACCGCCCCAACATTTCCGGCTGGATAACCGCTGCTCATCTACAATCACAATGAACACCGGTGTACCACAAGGCTGTGTGATGAGCCCTTTGCTCTACATGTGCAATGACAATAAAGTTGAATTCTACTTCATTCCCAGAGTGGACTCCAGGATAAGTCTGGCAACGTAACAGACGGACAGCTAAAGCTAGAAACACACTGACCATCTATGAGCTAAGTTACTACTAGCCAACTAAATGTGCCCTGCTTGCTAACATTATTGCTAGCCAACAATCTGTCTGGAGCTAGCTGATATGCTCCATGATAGTAACTTGTGTATGATGTCTAACAGTACTGATGTTAGCCAAAATGAAAGGATGTTTAACCAACATTAGCATCTACAGCATTGACAACATTCAGTTCTGATAGCTGACAGTGATATACTGAGTCTATTCTGAGGTAAACACTGGAGCAGGAGTGAATACTTAGTGGCCCAGTAAGCACAGAGGGAGTGAACTGGTCAGAGTGGACATGTTTCAGTGAAACAAAGACTGAAATCACAGGTCACTGTTAGGCAGTGTAAGAACAACAGCTGACAAAAGAACCTGCTTATGTGCTCATATCAGATTATCTAAGTAGTTTTTAATCGATTCCTGCTGCTGCCCAGACTGACTCACAATCTACGGTCTGAAAATCACCCAACAGCACAGAAACAGGAAGTATTGGAAGTAAACTTCCTGTTACTGATTATTTTGTTTGGGTACCTGAAGTTGTAAATGCACTGACATCTGCACAAAGTCACGTATCACACAGAGGATTACTGACTATATTCTGACCGTTAGGCTGCACGAGGGAGCAGAAACAGTCTGGTTTCCAAGTTCACTCGTTACAGCAGCGGTGGACACTTTCTGTCAGAGACCAGGCCGACTCGGACGCATCAAGCAAAGGGCTGGACACCAAATAACACAATTGAAAGAGGTGCTGAAATCCATGAATTGATAAATTCATTCAAACATAGAATTTGTACATATATATATGTTCTAATTCATGAATAAGAATTAAACTCCACTTTCCTGTTCTGACCTG